GTATATACACACATGTGTTTTTGTATAGTTACATAAATACATATACACATAGATGCACGCACGCACGCCATCACGCACGCACGCACGCACGCACGCACGCACGCACGCACGCACGCACGCACGGACGCACACACGCAAACACACAAACACACAAACACACAAACACACAAACACACAAACACACAAACACACAAACAAACAAACAAACAAGCAAACAAACACACACAGAGAGACAGACACACACACACACACAAACACAAACACACACACACACACACACACACACGCGCGCGCACACGTATGTACGTCTTCTGGGTTTTGTTTCATAGTCCGTTGATTCGAGAGCCATTGATGAATGGAAGGAAAATAAATATAGTTCAGAAGCCATATCATCTAATATAGCTAAATAATTGCACGCAGTATCAATGCAGGTGACCTCAAGAGTCTCGCCGCCACCAATGGTATGATATCAACGGCAATAAGCACCGGCTTCAGAAGATTGAATAAAGCTGGAACCTTGAAACCCTGACATGCACTCAGAAGCACTCATAGGATCTACCAAGAACTGTACATGCAAACACACAATGCTTGAGGGGGGAGGTTCCAGGTACACAGAACTCGCCAAGCTCTTCTTCCCACGGAGATCAGGTAGCTTCGTTGGACATGGTCCTTGATCTGATGCCGCGCCACCCTGCTTTGTTCGTGATACAAATGGAAATGCCGGCCTGGCAGCCCGACCCGCCCGCCCGGCCCCCCCACCCACCCGCCCGCCACCCAACCCCCGTACACGCACATGCAGACGCACACGCGGACGCACATACACACTCACATACACGAACACGGAGACAAAGCTGGGAACGAATGCCTTCATGCAGCTGAAGTTTATGAACTTGAGCTTGTGCAGTACATGCACGCTAATGTCCTTATGCTGTCTCGAATCTCCCAACTCATGAACGCTTCCAGTTGCATCGACTCTGAAGACGACCCAATACGCATCCCAGGGAATGCAAATCAACAGGATCAATGTTACAGCTGCCTTGTCTGCAGTATTATTAGCCGTGAGATGCTGAAGCCCTGTGTGAGGCACGGGGCCGCCACCATTCGCGATGAGTGTCTTCCACCCAGCTTGGCAACCGCAGGCAAGGGTTGATTTGGCCATCTCAGCAGTCTAGAACCAGGTTTTGCGGTACAATGCGTCTGACATGGCTTTCATTGGAGCCGCGGGGTTGCAGCAGAGCTGCCAACTGCTCGTGGCAAAGCATTTCTCAATTGCACTCCTGTGATGTGTAGAATGTCGATACGGCGTTTGCATTACGTTTCCCGCACAAACCGTTGGAGCAGTGGGTGGCAACCAAGGATCAGTTCTTCGGAAAAACTGGCATAGCTGCGCACAAGGCGGAGCACTCGTGGAGGTGAGATGCAGCTTGGTACCGCACTGGGCCCAACACCAAATCAGTGGGACGAGCCATCTACGACTTCGGGGATCGTCGCCGACCTCGTGATGCTGACGGTTCATCAACCGAAGACATTTGGTCATTTGGTTGAAGATCGCAGGCCTACATCAGCCAGTGGGCATTATCTTGAACTTTCAGTGGACCTTGTGACCTTCCCGGCTTCGACATTGCCGGCTGCGGTGAGTCAGTAGCGCACACTGTGGAGCTGTGCTGACCTGTCTGCACGCAGTCGCCAAATGTGCTAGTGCTAGCAAACAGGTAGAGTGTCAGAGCCGGTCGCACATTTTCGGGCCATGCGTCTCTTTTGACGCGAGTCCGGGGTAGTGCTGTCTCGAACAGGAACAGCTGCTTCTGTTGTGGTCAAGATAGTCCTCCTGCATGCTGATGCGGGGAAGCAGTCAGCACCCGTGAGGAGGACATGAATTCAAATTCAGTCGAAGTGGTCCCGGAGCGAGCTTGAAGCACGAGAAGCGCACGTGACTGCGACTTGCGCCTACCCGCCGGATTTCGTGGCCTCGCCTCGGCCTGCAAGCTTGCGGTGTTCTTGGAAGGAATGCAGAACAGTTGCCAAACTTAGAGATCAACGGCACAAGGGTAGATGCTTTTCAAGACATAATGCACATGACAGACTCAAGTGACAAGACTCATCGAATTTACATAAGCGGCCATGTCAGCAACGCAGGGTCGCCACCCTTGTTTCCCCGGACTTGCTGGAAGGACGTTGTGCCTGCCACTCACCGGAACTCTGCCAGTCTTGACAGGTGCTACTGCGTTGCTTGCCAGCCTAAAGAACAGAAGACAGGCATGGCTGCACCGCTTGTCTCGTGGAGTATGGTATGTGTCGAAGGTTGTGTGTTGTTGTGTGCACGGGCCAGAGTGCTGACTCTTGGAGGTAGATGTACCTCCTGAGGGACGAAACGCTGCCATGGCCCGAAGAGTGTTGCACAGAATGCTGACACTCACCGGTCTTGCTAAACAGGCAAGTCATGCAACCATTATCAATTTTCGCAGCCCTCGTTTTCTGGATGACAGCACTTCAGCTTCATGTCCCGCTGTGTTCTGTTTTCTTCTGCTTTCCTCCCTGCTGTCTTTGTTTCTGTCTCTCTTGCCTTCATTGTTTCCGTTCTTTCTGTCTGTCTCTCCTGCTCTCGAGGCGGGAGAGTTGCTCGAGAAGACCGCACACTTTTTGGAGGCGCAAACAAGAGGAGAAAGGACTGAGCGAATGCCAAGAAGGCTTTTTCGAGTCCTGGGATGGAAATGGAGAGCAGAAGTCGGAGAGCGCGAGAGGGTGGATCGTACGCCGTATGTACATGGACTACGGTGTGTGTGCTTGGACAGGAGGAGGGTCCCTAGCGCCCCCTAGTGCAGAAGGCTACTTCCGTTACGTAAGGTTGCGATTTGTGTCAGTCGATTGAGGTCTGAAGGAGACAGTCCTTTCTTCATAAGTGTTTGTAAGATGTCAGAGAAGAGCGCTGCAGTCCCTGAGCCCTCTGCCCTTGTGACACACCCGGTTGCGATTAAGTCAACCTGGTCGTGCTTTTTGCTTTGCTTGATGCAAAATCAGGCGAGGGAATTGTCGTGTGTCTTCTTCCCCTGCACACAGTGTTGAACGAGGATTCTCGAGTTGAGATGCAGCCATTGCCAGGCAAGGGAGACAAGCAACCCTCAAGATGCGACGCACCAGGCAGACTATGATCAGAAGACACTTCAGAATGCAGGATCAGAGACAGACGCCTGAAGGTGCTAAAGGATTTTTCGGATTGGTGGTGCGGTGGCCGATGCCTCGATGGGCAGATGCATTATAGGATTCTAGGAAGCTGCTAGCAGTTTGGGGGTACCGGTTTCTGGCCAGGCCAGAAGAACACCAAAAAACTTGCCATCGCAGAGACCGGCACGCTGGAGGTTCTGTACGAGCGTGGCTCTGAGTGGCTCAGCACCGTCTCTTCGTAAGCACGGACGCAAGCCAGACTGTTCGAGGGATGCGCGCCTGCAGTTCTAGCAGCCTGGCTGGGGCCAGTCTACGGGTGGTCCTGGGAATGCACCAAGAGCGGTGCGCTACCCCCGAGAGCGCTTAACTCCCAGAGACAGACACAAGGATAAGAGACGGCAACAGCAGCCAAATGCCATGCGATCTGGCCGTCTCGCACGGATGACGAGCGTGTCGCTGGTTTGGATGTTTTTTAAAGCTTCTCAGGACATTCAGCGTTAAATTGAAAAGCCACCGAGCTCGAGCGACATCAAAGCAAAAGCTTTTGCCATAAATATGGTCAATGAGCCGGTGGATCAGAAGAAGTGAGAAGAACTCCTGCTGAAAGACGCAGGACAACATTGCCAATTGCTGCATAAGAAGGACAGAGGACAGGTTTGCTGACAACGGTTTTGTCGAATCAAGGAGCCGGGTTGAACATGGGAAGACAACAAGCAAGCAGGTGGGGACAGGGCCTCCGGACTGTTGCTGTATAGCAGGGCTTCCCTCGAGCATACTTCCAGGAACCTCCGTTCAGATTGCACGCATGTGCGCGGAGTAAAGAAGAATTGCAGATCAGTGCCTGAACAGGTGGCTGTGCCACCCACACACACACACGGACGGTTCTGGATTTTCTTTTGTGACAAAGGCATATCGCCAAGATGTACGAGCTGGGGGCCGCCCTTACTCTAGGCCTGCTCTGAGACAGATTGGGGTTTCAGTTCTGCAAGAAGTTGGCGCGTTCCTAGACTGTGCTGTGGCATGCAGTGGCACACAATGACAACAGCACGGCCGAGTAGACACAGGAGAGAGGCGGACTGAGCAGTTCAGTTTCTTCCAGGCCAGTTGTTCACTATTCTTGATTTCACTAGGAGTGGAAGACCAGCGCGAATCTCGGACTTCTCTCAGGACATCGAAATCCGTGGCAGCAAGGACAATAAGATCGACTACAGGGACATTGCTGGCCCAGACAGCGCCTTCCTCCGCCTACTAGGACAGAGCTGGCTAGTGTGTGATAGTGTGTGCATACGATCCCATTTTTAAAAAACAAGGGCCTTGTTGATCTTATTGGTTCTGGTGGTCCAGGACGCATCATGGCAGAGCTTTACCCGAAGCAGCAGTTGCAGGTCATCGTCCTGGATGCCTCGGGACACAGCAGTCTGCTCCACAGCCTTTGAGCACTCCCTTTGGGAGCAATGTTTTGCAAGCCTGGCTGAGACAAACTCGGCGTGGAACAGACAGCAGTGCGCCTGGTGTGGTTTGGGACTCGGACATGTGAACATCACAGACTTTTTCAGCCAAAGTCCTGGTCTGGAAGGCAACTTGTGTCTGGCTCGTCCTAACCTTATTGTTTTCCATGGTGTCATTACCCACGCAAGCTCGTGCTTGTGTGGCTGCAGGAGTGGCGGGCAGAACATTGTTGTCACTTCGGAGATTGCCTTTCGCATCGTCGACTACATGGTGCCGGAGACCCGAGGGAAGAGCATGCATGTCCTACGGTGCCAGAGCCGTCCAAGTGTGAGGCTGAAAGCCAACGAATCGACAGACCAGAACATCAAGGAAATCCTCCGAAGAGCATCTACGCTTTCGAATGCCGGGCGCTGAGCAGGTCTTTAATTTGAGTATGCTTGGGGATGAGTCATGGCGATTAAGGTAAACACATGGAAGAACATGTTTGTCAGCGACGACAATTATGGCGGCAAGAGGCACTTGCTTCGTTGCACCAAGTCGTGCCAACAGCATGTTTTGCCAGCCGCAGAGTGGATATATGTGCAGTGGGATGTGAAGCACCCTGAAGATTTGCTGAGAGCCTTGTTGATCTCGGAACTTCCCCCGACACAAAATCGATCTGACACAAAATCGATCTAGGATTCGCTCACCCGAACATGAGATGCAGCTTCCGGATGGCAGAGCCTTGATTTCTGTAGGGAACTCCGGTCCGTGTGACTCCCTTTCAGTCTCCTTCAGGAGTCTGGGTGACTCCATGCATCTTTCCCTGCTCCCGGTTCGTGTGGCTGCGACTCCTCGCGTTGGATGGGCCATGCCCGGCAGCGGCTACTTTCAGAACGGCTGAACCTGGGCTACCGTCAAGGATGACACTCCAGACCTCGAGTGACTCCAGTCTTGCGCGAAAATAAATGAAGCAAAAAAACTGCCCAGCAAACGAGATGCTTTCCGACGCTTCCTAGTAAAGCTCACAGCCGTTAGACGTGGTCAAGGGCTCCCCGATTGAGCACAAAGCTTTACTGCCGCTTCCAGCATGGTCTAACGCTTCCTGGTGTACTTTTGTGTTATTTGCTCCTGTCATGGGTTTTTGAATGGACCTGCGGGAGTCGAAAAAAGGGAACCAGCCAAAAACACCTCTAACAGCCTTCGTCTTCCAAGCCTTAAGACCCCCCAAAGCCTTTCAGACCCTCAAATGGCCCTCAAACCTTCGCGACCCACGACCCAGAGCTAGGAAGGAAGCCCTAATAAATCCAAAGCAGGAAAGAGCCTAAACCGTAAAAAGGGTAAACCCCAAGTCCCAACTCCTTAAACCCGAGGCCCGAAGCGTCCGAAGCCATACAGCCCGAACCCTGACTTTAGAGCCCATGCCAGAGCCCTTAGCCCTGCAGCCCCAGTACTGAAAGCACGAAACCCGTATTAATTCCATGAGACAACTCGGAAAATCCTGAACCATCGCCGCAAATGTCCCGGCGGCGTAGACGGTTTCAGCCCGACCCGGCCAGGAGAGGCCTTCCCAAAACCACCAAGACAGGAGTCCCAGATTCCAGGGGCCGAGAGAAGATCCCCCAAGTCCCACCTAAATTCTGCATCCGATTTTGAGCCGCAGGTCCACCATCCGGATGACCTTGAACGACGAGGTTTGCGACCCTCCCATGCTGAGGCGACCATCAGACGGAACAGGAAAGAGAAAGCCCCAACGCCATGAACTGCCCTTGAAGCCTTGCTGCATGCCAGGCCAGAGAAGCGGCCTCTTAAGCCTGTCTTCATCCATCGGTGCGCTGATCTGTTTGATTTTTGCGGCCTCTCGCAAGCTGTCCTGCTCGCCAGATTCTCCAGGGAAGAGAATGTGCAGGACTGGGATGCATTTGGGCTCAGGCGGGCGACACCCACACCAGAGATCTTGTTCAGGACTTGAAAGCGGAGCCGGTCTGGTCCTGCGATGAAGGCACGCATGCAAAAGCACAATGTCTTGGGTAGGGGTGTGTTGGGACAAGCTTGTCGGAGACAACTTCATCGAGAATCCGGCTCTGGGTGCCTTGAGGCAAACTGGGCTCGGCGGAGTATGCAAAGTTTGTGGAGAGGACGGCCATTCGTCAGGCAACCGGCCACGCTCCTAGCACGCGGCTGTCTTTGGTTCGAGACTTGTACTGTCCAGTTGATCGTTCAAAAGCACCAATCATATTTGGTGGGAAATGCTCTCCATCAACAGCTCGCGTTGGTGTCTTCCCTTTCAAGGTCATTATGTAGTGACCACCGGGGCCATGTCGGACTGTGTTTTAGGCCTCGTCCAAGATTCAGAGGATCCACGATACTGCTGGGTGCCAACTGACATCCAGCGATGCAGTGACTTGGTGGATGGCAGCCAATGGATCTCAGCGCTGGAGCAGCATCTCAAGGCGGAGCCAAAGCCTAGCAGGCAGCTCAGAATGACTGTCAGCGAGGGAGACGCTCCGCAGTTCTGGGCATCGGCTGCACACACGCTCCGTGCTCGAAATGATGCCTTGCGAAAGATGCAGCCTCCGGCAAGGAAGGTGAGGCTTCTGACGCAGCATGAGGTGCTGTTCTGGTTCAATGTCGGGCCCGGCGTGCAGAAGAGAGATCGAGTCTATGTTACGGAATCCAAATGCCCCCATCAGGGTGTCTGCTTAATGGGCGGAGAGCTTAAGGACGTTGAAGACATCGTTAACGAGGAGAAAGTTCCGATGGTGCGCTGCCCTCGCCACAACAAAACCTTTGATCTCAGGACGGGCGAATCACTGGGCAACTGCGAACGACTTCGCGTCTTCCCCTGCAAATTCCATCAGGGCCGGTACTATGTCCAAGTGCCCGTGGCTGAAACAAGCGGCACGTTGCAGGCAGGACTACGGCAGCATCGGTGCAGTCAGGCATGTACTTAGACAGCCATTGTTAATCAAAATTTGTGGAGCCAGTTCTGCATGTGAATTTGGTGTGTATTCAGCAAAACTACTTGCTCCGGCACCGGTGGAGTCGTCCACCGGGGCATCCGGAGACACACATTTACTTGTACAGACACACATACACACACACACA